TAGGGGAAGAAGCGTTGTGGATGCAATTTCCATCCACGAACGCAGTCGACTCTGTGTACTTGGCCTGGCGGGTTCTAGCTCTGAAAAGTCTCGTCTGGTGGAATCAAAATTTGTCGTTCCCTCGAACATCTGACCGTAACCTCAGCGCGAAGGCTTGTCAGTGCTCATAACTTTACAAAGAAATTCTGTGTTATTTTGAACTTGATCCGTTAAAGCGAATCTTACATTCAAAGAATTTTACACCAAGCAAGGCAATAAAGCTAAGACGCAAGAGGTTATATGTGGAAAAACATTAATGAATGTAAATAATGCTGTTTAATTAAACAAAAACCCCCAAAACAGAGCATTGGCTATAAAAATAACGTATAAAAGGAAAATATGTCAAATAATTGTCTGACATAATCCATTCCATAATATATATATATATATATATATATATATATATATATATATATATATATATATATATATATATATATATATATATATTTAAAACAACATTTAAAACAACTTGCCTGCCCGCACACACAATTCCGTAAAATACTTGTCGAAAACACAATTATACTTCGACATGAAAACAATAGACAAAAACTAAAAATCCTTGAAGCATTATACATCAAACTGTTGAAACCCAACCTAAACAAAATCAATTATGGCATCTCTACAAATATTCTTAAATGTCTATAATTGGTAACAGAAGCCATTGGTTTATACCAATGGCTTTCCATAGTTCATACTTCTCCAATTCACTCTCGTGAGGTCATGTGTGACGTCATGAGATGCGGTGCGATTTTCGCTTCTCGCGTCTAATATGCACGTGTTTATCGTTGCTTAGAAATCATCTATGTAAGTAATCACAGACTATCATCATTGTCTTGTCTGTATATTGCTTAATATGTTGTAATTGACATCTTTGATAATGGCTTATGTAAGCCGAAAGCTTAGATTGTATTAAAAAAATATGGATCAATATTGTGATTTTCTTTCTTCGTTCAACGATAATGTTATTAAATTTATCAGACGTTACGAAAATAAATTACTTAAATAAATAGACAACACTTGTCTATATTATTTAATGAAACGTGTATATATATATATATATATATATATATATATATATATATATATATATATATATATATATACTAGCAGCATGGCCCGGCGTTGCCCGGGCTTGATTCAAAAATCGTACGACTCATACAGCAATCGCTATCACTTGACTTAAAATATTTTTGCCCTTCCCTGCCTTTAAAGGAGTGCCCTTTGCCGTGCTGATGTTGCTACATGCCTTACTTCTTGCCTATCTCACACTGCAAATTTTTTCTAAGCTCTATACTAAACATTAAATCTGTTACGAAAAAAGAACTAAACAAAATGAACATAAAACGATCAGCTTTAAAGAAGGACTCGTAACTGGAAAAACCGAATAAAAAAAAAATGTTAACAACAAATACTTTTTCACACTCAACCCAATTCTGCAGAATCAGAATCTACGTTGAGTTTAAGCAAACGAATAAGCCAATTAGAGTAAAGTGCCATGCAGATTTAAATTATTCTCACTTGTGACGAATGCAGCAATCGATTCTTTTTGCATACTAGCATGCTAGTTAACATTCGTGTCAGTCAGCTGTTGGCTCTCACGCTGGCCAAGTGAATCTTCCTGCCTATTCGTGGCAGCCAGCTATAGACTCTCACTCTGGCCAGTAGAAAATGGCCGCAAACTACATGAAAACTGCCTTAGAAGCATGAAAAATCGATTATTTTCAATTATGCATGGGAGTTGGGAAATGCAAAGTCGGACTTGGCGTTCCCGCTAACTTGGACACACACACATCCTGCCTTTTATAGATAGAGAGGTATATATATATGTGTGTGTATATGTGTGTGTGTCTGACGCACGACCGAGCTTTACAAATGCGTGTAAATATTAAATAAAAAAAACCTAAAGGATCATATTCAAATGTTCATGCTGCTCCTCTCAGTTCTGACCTGTCACAATCACACAGAGTAAAGCTGGCCTTACTCTCCACGTTTCGCATTTGTTGCTCTATCACTCGAGCCAAATGTCTCAACCACATGTTCCATCTACGTAAAAGTTTGCAAAACACCTGCAGGACTTGGGAGGCACATGCGTATCCATAGGAGTTGAAAACCTCTTTATTTTACTCAGCCCTCACTTGCTGTCCACTAACGAGGGAGTTCATCATATATTTGTATATATGAATAAAATAGACAATCGTAAAATAGTTCTTGGTCCTTGCCGACGTGTTTCGTCATTTGACTTTATTAAGGCAACTGATGATAAACAAAAGCGAAATGTGTTGTGGTTATATGAAATTCAATTTATGTCTGAAAAATTTCTTATAACTTTAACATATTGTCGATATCGAAAACAAAAATGTGATCTTCGTCCCAAACAAGAAAAGTTTCTAATATCCCAAAACCGAGTCTGTCTATATATCTGAGATGAGATATTATGTACATTATTTACATTATTCGGACTATTGTCCTCATCTTTGTCGCCATATTTATCACAACGTTTCGGATTTTGTACGCTCCGGCCTTCTTCAGGTGGTTGGAATGTCGAACTGAACACTTTATTTCGCTCACTTTATCCACTGTGCCATGTGTCCTTGACACATGGCACAGTGGATACAGGCGTTGGTTAGATCCAGTGACAAGACCCAAAGAGTGTGAGTTCAATACCCGGTTAAGGCAGTGGAGAACTTTCAGAGGGAAAATTAACAGATAACTGGCATCCATTAGACATGGCACGTGGAACTAGAACAGTCTACCCCAGTGAGCGAAATAAAGGGTTCAGTTCTACATTCCAACCACCTGAAGAAGGCCTGAGCGTACAACGGCCGAAACTTTGTGATAAATATGGCGACAAAGATGAGGACAATAGTCCGAATAATGTAAATAAGCCCAAAACAGGCTTACACAGGAGCGTCTTAAAAAAAATGAATTTCATTTCACATTTCTTTATCATCACTTACCTTGACAGTCCAATGACGAAACGCGTCGGTAAGTAGTAAGTACTAGTTTCTCTACAGATTTATTCTGAGAAATGCAACATATATATATATATATATATATATATATATATATATATATATATATATATATATATATATATATATTAATATATACGGACAAAAACAACTTGCCCACTACAAAATGCTTTCTTGTTTCGATTTAGTTGCATCTCGACTGGTGAGAACTGATTGGTTCTCACCAGTCGAGATGCAGGCGCCTCGAAACAAGAATGTATCTTTGTAGTGAGCAAGTTGTTTTTGTCCGTATGTAAACATTATAATAAATAATTATTGCTCAACCCTTGGTATTGAGCCCTCTTTTAAATTAATGCTGAGAACCTTAGAACTGTCAAATGAAAAAAAATAAATCACTTAAATCATCAACTAGGGTATGGACATTCCTTAAATGAGAAAATAAGATTTTCCTGGGCGATGACGCTCTCTGTAGCCTCGGTGGCTAAGGCTCGCCAGATCAGAGGGTAGCCGGAGAGTTCATTTTCTTTGTTTTCTTGAGTGCACAGGTTGTAATACAAACTGTAATACATCTATCCATTAAATATAACGTTGAAGAAGATATATATATATATATATATATATATATATATATATATATATATGTGTGTGTGTGTGTGTGTGAGTGCGTGCGTGCGTGTGTGCGCTTATATATATATATTTGCGTGTGTGTGTGCTTATATATATAGATATATGTGTGTGTTTGTTTATATATATATTATGTGTGTGTGTGCATATATATATGTATTATGTGTATGTGCATATATATATGTATTATGTGTGTTTGCTTATATATGTGTGTGTGTGTGCTTATACGCTTATATATATGTGTGTGTGTGCTAATGCTTATGTATGTGTGTGTTTATATATATTATGTCTATGTGTGTGCATATATATGTGTGTGTCTGTGTGCTTATACGCTTATATATATATATATATGTGTGTGTGTGTGTGCTTATATATATTATGTGTATGTGTGTGTATATATATGTGTGTGTGTCCAAGCACATATATATGTGTATGTGTGCTTGTTTGTGAGTGTGGGTGCGTGCACGCGCGTGTGTATATTTCCTTAAATATGACGGAAACGAAATCCAATTTTTCTTGTGTCCTTAAAAACTTACTTTTTTTTTTTGACAACCGCGCCTGTGGAAAAATTGTCTACAGTGTTTATTGTTCCGACCGATTTCGATTAATACTTTCAAAAGAGGGCGACATTTCTCGTGGCTATTAGGATTGTTAACATATTTTAGTACCGTTTCTTGTTTTCCACTGCATTGTGTTGGTCAACTTGACGTGGTGTAATGGTTAGCAAACATATCTTTTGAGTCGGGAGTTTGATTCTCACTACGTGATATATACTTCCGAACTAGTACCACGTCTAAGGTACGCTTACTAAATCCCTGCTTTACGTGAAATGCAGTTTTTAGTAGTATTTTCATTCATTATTGATGTTTTGTTTTTTTTACAATTTTATGTCTTAGTTTCCAATCGCAGCCAAGACTTCTGGGATCGGTTCAAATGAGTTGTTGTTGAGGCAGGTCAGTTGATTTTATGAGAATCCTATCAAATATATCCAAACAGTTTTATTACAAATAGATGTTGTACGAAAGGAAAGAAGAGAGAAAGCAAGAGAACAGAAAGGGAGAGAGAGCAAGAGAAAAAAAAAGAAGAGGATAGTAAAAAAACAAAGAGAGAAAAAGAAAACTGAAAAGAAAAACGAAAGAGAGACAAGGAAGAATCAAAGTAAGGAAAGGAAAGAGAGAAAGAAAGAAAAGAAATGAAAAGAAAGAAAGAAAGAGAGAAAGAAAGAAAGAAAGAAAGAAAGAAAGAAAGAAAGAAAGAAAGGGAAAAAGTATCATTGTCCTCTCCGAGAATAAGTAAATAAATAAATATATGGAGATAATATGATTGATTTTCGAATTTCACCTTTTCGCCTGTACCATGTTATCAGCAGTAATTAAAGACGACACGTTTCGGTAATGACCCACCCAGCTTTACAAGACACCAAATTTCCCGAAAAAATAAAAAGAGAGAGAGAGAGAGAGAGAGAGAGAGAGAGAGAGAGAGAGAGAGAGTTGGAGGTGGGGAGAGAAAGGAGATAGAGAGTGGAAGGGGGAAGAGAGAGAAACGGATGGGGGAGAGAGAGAGAGAGTTGGAGGGGAGAGAAAGGAGATAGAGAGGAAGGGAGAAGAGAGAGAGAAACGGATGGGGAGAGAGAGAGAGAGAGAGAGAGAGAGAGAGAGAGAGAGAGAGAGAGAGTGAATAAAGAGAAGAAGACGTCCTGCCAGAATAAGGCTTGGTAATTGTCAGAGATGATGGATAAGCGCCTGAAATCTTCACCGTCACAGAAATGACACGCGATACGGTTTGAGCGTTCATTTGAGGATCGCTCCACTGACCTTTTGCCATTGATACTGGTCTTTTTGAATGTCAAGGCAGTATTATCATGTCTTCATCCTCGACATTCTCCGGTTCCGATGACTTCGGACTTGGATGCACGTGCGTCCGTCCATCTGTTTGAATAACAGTCATTTGTGCATCTAATCTTTGTATATGGAAAAGATAAGAGTAGCTACCGATGGCTTAGCTTACATGACCTAATTTTTTTGCTTCTTCATAGGTAGGTATTGCGTTAGTGTCACAGAACAATATCTATCTATCTATCTATCTATCTATCTATCTATCTATCTATCTATCTATAAGGGTTATGGATGCATTTGTGGATAGACGTACGTGCACTTATCACTGAATGGACGTTTCTTGTTGATTTTTTACTGTTTTAGATCACAGATACGTATCTTTACTGAGATATCCAAGAAAAGTGTCAAGAAGAAGAAACAGATGAAATAATAAATTGCTTGACAGAATGACAGTATATCGATAAATACATAAATTTACGTTCAAAGGTATTTCTATCCTATGCAAAAGTAATGCATTTTAAAACACGCTGACGTTTATTTATGATATAAAAGGACAGTTTAATTTATGAAGTGATGTTGGAGGCATTCAAGAAATGTAATATTTATTTCAGTATTCCAGATAAGGGTTAAATAATAAGCTGTCTACCTTGAGTGGTAGCCACTTTAGTAGAAAGACTCTTCTGGTTTCAAAGGGAAGCAGGAATCGAGAAACCAGCCCCAAAATTTTTAGAAATTCAAGAGCAAGAGTCTTTATCGGCTACATGCTGAATAGGAAGATATGAAAAAAAAATTCATGCCTAAAAGTAATCAAGTACTTTCTTAGACCTTTTTTCAGAATATTTTAGATGAGGAATTATCATTGTTATATGCTTAACCGATGGGGTAGTGAATGAAAAATTCTTAAAAAAAAAATAGGTACGGAAATTGGTTTTCCAAAATGGTATCTCCGCACTAAATAAGGCTGATGGAATCATGCATATGTCGAGGGTTTGGGAACGAAAAGTATAGAAAAACGTCGGTTTTAATTAAACATCAAGAAAAACGCTGATCATGCAGTGACGCTTGAATTTAAAGGTTAAGATACTGACAAATGATATGCCAAAATGTTCGACACAAGTTGACTATAATCAACTATCCAAAACTTGTTTTATTGAATTTTATTTCCCCAACCATGTCTTTCTTTGATGTACACTGTGACCTTCAAGTGTCATTATATGTTTTGCAATTCGAACTAGCATGATAATCTTGGATGCTACACCAACAATGTTTCAGACGTCCTGCCCTCCGGCCATCAGGTGTATATTATATGCCTTGGTATTCATACTATGATGCTCATCTTGATATGGCTACAGCCCGAAAGTTTCGGTTGCTATCTACTCCGGCCTTCACGTAGGATTATAGACTTTGCTATTCGGACTATCATGCTTATCTTGATTGCTACATACACAATATTTCGGTCGTTGTGCTCTCCGACCTTCACGATTCATTATATACTTTGGTCTACGGACTAGCATGCTCATCTTGATTGCTACACACTGAAATTTCCGTTCGGTGTATCCTCTGGCCTTCACGTGGGATTATATACTTTGCTATTCAGTCTATCATGCTCATCTTGATTGCTACACCAACAATATTTCGGTCGTTGTACTCTCCGGCCTTCACAAGTCATTATATACTTTGGTCTACGGACTAGCATGCTCATCTTGATTGCCACACGCTGAAATCTCTGGTCGGTGTATCCTCCGGCCTTCACGTGGGATTATAGACTTTGCTATTCGGTCTATCATGCTCATCTTGATTTGCTACCAACAATATTTCGGTCGTTGTACTCTCCGGCCTTCACAAGTCATTATATACTTTGGTCTACGGACTAGCATGCTCATCTTGATTGCTACACGCTGAAATCTCCGGTCGGTGTATCCTCTGGGCTTCACGTGGGATTATATACTTTGCTATTCGGTCTATCATGCTCATCTTGATTGCTACACCAACAATATTTCGGTCGTTGTACTCTCCGGCCTTCACAAGTCATTATATACTTTGGTCTACGGACTAGCATGCTCATCTTGATTGCTTTACACGCTGAAATCTCCGATCGGTGTATCCTCTGGCCTTCACGTGGGATTATATACTTTGCTATTCGGTCTATCATGCTCATCTTGATTGCTACACCAACAATATTTCGGTCGTTGTACTCTCCGGCCTTCACAAGTCATTATATACTTTGGACTACGGACTAGCATGCTCATCTTGATTGCTACACGCTGAAATCTCTGGTCGGTGTATCCTCCGGCCTTCACGGGATTATATACTTTGCTATTCGGTCTATCATGCTCATCTTGATTGCTACACCAACAATATTTCGGTCGTTGTACTCTCCGGCCTTCACAAGTCATTATATACTTTGGTCTACGGACTAGCATGCTCATCTTGATTGCTACACGCTGAAATCTCTGGTCGGTGTATCCTCCGGCCTTCACGTGGGATTATATACTTTGCTATTCGGTCTATCATGCTCATCTTGATTGCTACACCAACAATATTTCGGTCGTTGTACTCTCCGGCCTTCACGAGTCATTATATACTTTGGTCTACGGACTAGCATGCTCATCTTGATTGCTACACGCTGAAATCTCTGGTCGGTGTATCCTCCGGCCTTCACGTGGGATTATATACTTTTGCTATTCGGTCTATCATGCTCATCTTGATTGCTACACCAACAATATTTCGGTCGTTGTACTCTCCGGCCTTCACGAGTCATTATATACTTTGGTCTACGGACTAGCATGCTCATCTTGATTGCTACACGCTGAAATCTCTGGTCGGTGTATCCTCCGGCCTTCACGTGGGATTATATACTTTTGCTATTCGGTCTATCATGCTCATCTTGATTGCTACACCAACAATATTTCGGTCGTTGTACTCTCCGGCCTTCACAAGTCATTATATACTTTGGTCTACGGACTAGCATGCTCATCTTGATTGCTACACGCTGAAATCTCCGATCGGTGTATCCTCTGGCCTTCACGTGGGATTATATACTTTGCTATTCGGTCTATCATGCTCATCTTGATTGCTACACCAACAATATTTCGGTCGTTGTACTCTCCGGCCTTCACAAGTCATTATATACTTTGGTCTACGGACTAGCATGCTCATCTTGATTGCTACACGCTGAAATCTCCGGTCGGTGTATCCTCTGGCCTTCACGTGGGATTATATACTTTGCTATTCGGTCTATCATGCTCATCTTGATTGCTACACCAACAATATTTCGGTCGTTGTACTCTCCGGCCTTCACGAGTCATTATATACTTTGGTCTACGGACTAGCATGCTCATCTTGATTGCTACACGCTGAAATCTCAGATCGGTGTATCCTCCGGCCTTCACGTGGGATTATATACTTTGCTATTCGGTCTATCATGCTCATCTTGATTGCTACACCAACAATATTTCGGTCGTTGTACTCTCCGGCCTTCACGAGTCATTATATACTTTGGTCTACGGACTAGCATGCTCATCTTGATTGCTACACGCTGAAATCTCTGGTCGGTGTATCCTCCGGCCTTCGTGGGATTATAGACTTTGCTATTCGGTCTATCATGCTCATCTTGATTGCTACACCAACAATATTTCGGTCGTTGTACTCTCCGACCTTCACGATTCATTATATAATTTTGGTCTACGGACTAGCATGCTCATCTTGATTGCTACACGCTGAAATCTCTGGTCGGTGTATCCTCCGGCCTTCATGGGATTATATACTTTTGCTATTCGGTCTATCATGCTCATCTTGATTGCTACACCAACAATATTTCGGTCGTTGTACTCTCCGGCCTTCACGAGTCATTATATACTTTGGTCTACGGACTAGCATGCTCATCTTGATTGCTACACGCTGAAATCTCTGGTCGGTGTATCCTCCGGCCTTCACGTGGGATTATATACTTTGCTATTCGGTCTATCATGCTCATCTTGATTGCTACACCAACAATATTTCGGTCGTTGTACTCTCCGGCCTCTCCGGCATTCACGAGTCATTATATACTTTGGTCTACGGACTAGCATGCTCATCTTGATTACACCAACAATACGGTCGTTGAAATCTCTGGTCGATGTATCCTCCGGCCTTCACGTGGGATTATATACTTTGCTATTCGGTCTATCATGCTCATCTTGATTGCTACACCAACAATATTTCGGTCGTTGTACTCTCCGGCCTTCACGAGTCATTATATACTTTGGTCTACGGACTAGCATGCTCATCTTGATTGCTACACGCTGAAATCTCTGGTCGGTGTATCCTCCGGCCTTCACGTGGGATTATATACTTTGCTATTCGGTCTATCATGCTCATCTTGATTGCTACACCAACAATATTTCGGTCGTTGTACTCTCCGGCCTTCACGAGTCATTATATACTTTGGTCTCCGGACTAGCATGCTCATCTTGATTGCTACACGCTGAAATCTCTGGTCGGTGTATCCTCCGGCCTTCACGTGGGATTATATACTTTGCTATTCGGTCTATCATGCTCATCTTGATTGCTACACCAACAATATTTCGGTCGTTGTACTCTCCGGCCTTCACAAGTCATTATATACTTTGGTCTACGGACTAGCATGCTCATCTTGATTGCTACACGCTGAAATCTCCGGTCGGTGTATCCTCTGGCCTTCACGTGGGATTATATACTTTGCTATTCGGTCTATCATGCTCATCTTGATTGCTACACCAACAATATTTCGGTCGTTGTACTCTCCGGCCTTCACAAGTCATTATATACTTTGGTCTACGGACTAGCATGCTCATCTTGATTGCTACACGCTGAAATCTCTGGTCGGTGTATCCTCCGGCCTTCACGTGGGATTATATACTTTGCTATTCGGTCTATCATGCTCATCTTGATTGCTACACCAACAATATTTCGGTCGTTGTACTCTCCGGCCTTCACAAGTCATTATATACTTTGGTCTACGGACTAGCA